GACATGCTGCTGCTGCTGCTGGCCCTGCTCTGGGGGAGGGCGGGGGTGCAGGGACAGGGAGGGTACTGGCAAGGTTACACGCTGCGAGTGCAGAGGAAGGTGACGGTGCAGGAGGGGCTGTGCGTCCACGTGCCCTGCTCCTTCTCCTACCCCTGGGATGGCTGGACTGACTCTGACCCCGTTTATGGCTACTGGTTCCGGGAAGGGCCCAAATCACACCAGGAGGCTCCAGTGGCCACAAACGACCCAGCTAGGAAAGTGCAGGAGGCGACCCAAGGCCGATTCCACCTCCTCGGGGATCCCGGGAGGAACAACTGTTCCCTGAGCATCAGAGACGCCACGAGGAGGGACGAAGGGTCATACTTTTTTCGGGTGGAGCGAGGAACCGTGAAATGGAACTATATATACAACAAGCTCTTTGTACACGTGACAGGTAAGGCTCGGGCTCCGGGTGCCCACAGGGGGAGGTGGTGGGGGCCGCAGGGCAGGGCTGGGCTGGGACCCCGTCCTGGGAGGGGCTGGGGGTGAAGCCTGTCGGGCTCAGGGGAGGAGCTGGACCAGAGCCTGAGCTCCTCTCAGGGCCACACCTCGGACCCTCCCCCCTGATCCTACGTGTCCCTGTCTCCTCCCAGCCCTGAACCACACGCCCGATATCCTCCCCCCGGGGACCCTGGAGTGTGGCCGCCCCTGGAACCTGACCTGCTCTGTGCCCTGGGCCTGTGAGCAGGGGACGCCCCCCAGCATCTCCTGGGAGGGGGCCTCTGTGGCTTCCCAGGGCCCCACCATTGGCCGCTCCTCGGTGCTGACCCTCATCCCTCAGCCCCAGGACCACGGCACCAGCCTCACCTGCCAGGTGACCCTGCCTGGGGCCAATGTGACCACAACAAGGACCATCCACCTCAACGTGTCCTGTGAGAGCTGGGCTGGGAAGCCTGGGGTCCTGCTGGGGGTCCCCAGGGCAGCGGGATGGGGTCAGGGCTGCACACGGGGTGCTGGGTCCCGGGATCCAGGTGGGGAAGGTCAGGAGGATGCTGGCTCCACCCTCCTCCCTGACACGGCTCCTGGGGACAGAGGCCAGCGTCCACCCAGCCCTCAGCAGTGACGTGGGGCTGCCATGTCTCTCTGCCCCAGACTCTCCTGAGAACTTGACCGTGACTGTCGTCCGAGGAGACGGCTCAGGTAGGACGGGCCCTCCCTGGGCTGTGGGAGCAGGGCCTGTTCAGCCAGGGCAGGCGCGTCCTCCTCACCCTGGACTCACCCCGGACTCACCCCGGTCACCTGAGACCCCCTTGCTGGTGACCCCACGACCCCTCCCTCCCCGCAGACGCCTCCACACCCCCTCGGCCCACAACAAGGACAGGGCGACACCTACAGCAGAACTGGCCTCCGGGCCCCCTGTCATCTGTCTCCTGAACCCTCCTTCAGCCTCATCTTTTTATTTCCCAGTAGTTTATGTGCTTCTGGGTGGGTGACACGGTCACATGGGTGACAATTCCAAATGCACAGCAGGGTGAGTCCTGAGAGGCCCGTTCCCCTCCCTAGAACCCACCAGGGTCTGCACAGGCTGCTCCGAGCCTTGGTCTGTTCACCTGCAGGACCTCAGAGGGGGTTTGACGTCAGTAGTGCGGACTGTCCCCGTGCTCCTCTAGGATAGTGTAATATTTCTTTGTCTGGGTTGACTCTGATTTTGTGACATCTTCTAATGTAAAACCATGTTATTAACATTATTGTACCACAGAAATGTTGCAAGGAATAATCTTGTGTCTATTGTTACAAGTAATATCTAAGTGTGTGGGACAAATTCTTAACAGCAGCATATTGTTGGGTCATATGTTCTTTCTCATTTTGAGAGATATGGCCAAATGGTTCTCAATTAAGGGTTTACATTCCCAAGAGTGAGCAGCGAAAGTGTGTTTTCCTCCACTCAGTCCTTGTGTGTCTGTTCCACTCAACACTCTCTTTCTCCGTCCTTCCCATTTTTCCAGATCTCTTTGTCTCTCTGACCTTCTGTCTCTTTCTCTATAGCACCCACAGCTGTGGGGAACGGCTCATCTGTGTCAGTCCTGGAAGGCCAGTTCCTGCGCCTGGTCTGTGCTGCTGACAGCAACCCCCCTGCCAGGCTGACCTGGACCTGGGGGAGCCTGACCCTGTGCCCCTCGCAGCTCTTGAGCCCTGGGGTGCTGGAGCTGCCTCGAGTGCACCTCAGGGATGAAGGACAATTCACCTGCCGAGCTCAGAACCCTCTGGGCTCCCAGCACGTCTCCCTGAGCCTCTCCCTGCAGAGTGAGTACACAGGTGGGTGGGGGAGGGTCTAGAGGAGGAGAACACACCTGCCCCACCCTCAGGGTCCACCCAACAGTCCTCTGAGCTACAAAGGGAGGCTCAGCTGTGAGGCCTGGAACTTCCCTGTGACCCAGAGCATCACTGTCCTCTTCCTGCCCTGCAAGGGGCCTGAGGTGGGGTGAGGGGAGGAGGTGGACCTTGGAGGGGAGGGGCTGGGGCCTGGACAGGTGTGTTTGGGGAGACAAGGTCCTCGCTCTGCAGGGCTGGGACTAGGGTGAGACATGTGAGGAACTCACCTTGGGCACAAAATTTGAGACGCCAAAAACAAGTCAGCAATCAAGGGAAGAAATATTGTGATGTGATGATCTTTTTAAAACAATAAAATCCAATGCAAAATCATTCCACTATGAGCAAAGTATCGAAATTTTAAACAAAGACAGGCTGCACCCAGCACGTCCTGGCTTCACTGGGCTCTGGAATAGTCCCTCCTTCTCTCCCCTCAACCATGTTCTTTGTGTCTGGGAAGGAGCGAGGGGAATAGAAGTCTAGGACCCTACGGGATGGGAGGAGAAGAGACCCCGCTCTTGGAGGCGAGTCACCAGAGCGGCTCTCGTGCGTCTGCAGGCACAGTGCGGCCCGTCTCAGGGCTGACGCTGGGGGCTGTCTGCGGAGCTGGAGCCACAGCCCTGGTCTTCCTGTCCTTCTGCATCATCTTCTTCGTGTAAGCATTGACCTTGTGGGGAGGGCAGGCTGGGTGCAGAGTCCCTGAAGCCAGAGCTGGAGGGATCTGGAGGGGTCACAAGCTTGAAGCAAGGGCAAAAAGGACGTCACGTGTGCATGGTGAGAATTCCACATGGGCTTGTGTTTGTGGGGCTCTGAGTCTGTAGCAAACCTTGGGCCCCACTGTCCAGGAGAGGGGAACCTGTGTTCTCAACATTGGGGTCTTCCGGACTGGACAGCCCCTCTCCCACCTTGGTCACCCATCCAGCCCCTTAATACGATGGAGAGGTGGGGTCATCCTGCCCACTGTGCTCTGATCTGCCCAGACTGAAAGCTCTCTGGTCTCTCCTCTCAGAGTGAGGCCCTGCAGGAGGAAGGAGGCAAGGGCAGCAACCGGCATGGGTGACATGGTTGTGGAGAAGGCAGACGCTGTCAGGGGTCCAGCCTCTCTGGTGAGTGACATGGGCATCTCCACATCCAGCCTGGACACCTCCCACAGGATGGACTCCAGGATTACTCTTCTTGGCAGGTCCAAAGTGTCTCTCTTCATCTCCTCCTCCACCCACAAGCCAGCTTCTCAGGAGCTGTCCCCATCTTGCTGACAGCCGGACAACTCCATCTTCCTTCTTTCTCCCAGGCCAGGCCTGCCTGGAGGAGGAGATACCTGCTCTCTCTCCTCCTTTTTTTCTCTATAGCTCCAAATTCACCATGTCTTGTTCATTTCCCCTAAGAACAGCTGGCATTGGTCCCCACCCTCCATTCTGACCCCTCTCATTGCTGAGGCCTCAGGTTCTTTTCTTGGACCCCCTCACCTTCCTGCCTCTCATTTCCTCTTCCCTACCTGGAGGGATCTTCCCAAAGCCATCACTGCCCGGCCATCACTGCGTTTGAACAGCGTTTCCCCGCCCCCAACACTGCTAGAACAGAGGCTGGCAAACTTACTCTACAAGAGCCAGATGGTAAATATTTTTGGCTTTGTGGGCTATATAGTCTCTCCTGCAGCTACTCAATCAACTGCCATTGTAGCATGGATGCAGCCATATTCCATGTGTAAATGAATGACGATGGCCGTGTTCCAATAAATCTTTGTTTACAAAGGAAAGCAGTTGGTGGGATTTGACCCAAGGGCTGTAGTTTGCCAACCTCTGATCTAGAGTAAAAACCTTAAACTCCTCAGCCTATAGCCCTAAACATTCTGGCCTCTTAAGCATCTACCTCTCAAGTAGGGCAGGAATTAGGATGAGGTAAGTGAGGCCCTTTCTTTGAAAGCAAAATTTAAGGGCGTGCCAAAAATCTCAGTAATTAAGACAAATAAAGTTTTTATGTACTATGTTTTTTAAACATCAAAATTAGTTTTAAAAAGTTAATGCTGAACAAAACATCAAAATTTTAAATAATGACAGGATCATCAAACTGAAGTTAGTTAAAAGTTGTTTAAGATCACCACTTAATCAGAAGACTAACTCAATTGTCAAGCAAGGCAGCATTCTTAGTTGAAAATTAGAGAAGCAAAGACCTAGATTTTTAAAATATTATCTCTGCTTTGCTTCCAGTAGAGCCAGGAAAGCAAAATGGTAAAAAACAAATTCTAGTTTGGGTATACATAACATCTTAAAACTTAAAGTGATGTTTTAATGCATATTACTTTTTAATTTGTCAATAGTGTTTCAATTATTAACGTTCTGGAAAAAATTGGACATTAAAAGACATAAAAATATATAAACAGAGGCATATTTTTTTTTCTTTTGCCTCAGGCTCTAATGGAGTCAACAGAGCACTCTTACTAATCCAGGTTTTACTTAAATTTTTGTTTTCCATTGGTTTTTTGCATTAATTTTGATTTTAAAATTATTGCACAAAAACATGTATTTCTCTCAGTTGCTGAGATTTTTGGCACTCTTTTAATTTTGTGCTCTGGTGAGCGCCACATTTGCTTCACCCTCATGCCAGCTCTGCCCTCCAGCCGCCTCCTGTGCTCTATCCACCCTGGACTTTTCATTGTTGTCACTTAGAACAAGGTTATTTGGGCCTCTGGACCTTTGCATGGGCTGTTCCTCCCTCCTCAAATGCTCTTCCCTCCCCACTTCCACATCTTCCTTTCTGTTTATTCTTCATGCTCCAATGTAAATGTCACACTTGTCATGTATTGATTGTATTCAGAGTGTGACTAGAAACCTGTGGAAGGTTTTGGACAGCAGAGTAATATATGTCCTTTCATT